AAGATCAAACAAAGGTGCAATGGATAGCGCATATACGAACGAGGAGTTGTATCTGACCGATACTTCGATAGGCCACCGGAATCAAATCTATTAGTGTAATAAATTTTAATGGAAACAACGATTTACTTCTTAACACATCGAAACTGTAGCAAAAAATCATTGCACTGCATGTAATCATAACGAAAATTGCAATAACAGCCCATCGACTGAGGAATATCATCATATCACGAAACAAAATTTCTGCAGTTAATTTAGTTCATTCGATCGTACGAAATGGTTTCCATCCATTATCCACTTTATCCAGAAATTAATCTGTTCCAACCCCTCTAGGTCTTTCAGTTGCTGAAGGCCATTGGCGCGTTGCAGCACTGCCAAGGTTGTAGGAAAGTGAGAAACAGCATGCTGTAGTGATAATGACACACAAGAACAACGATGGTCAACTGAGTAGACGAAATATACTACGAATGAACAACATATTAACTTGCACATATTAAAAAACTGCAGCATATCCCGATGAAAACTGACAACATCTGGGGTTCCACTCCATTTTGTAAAACTACTTATCCACTGCGTCAATCATATCTACGTCTAATTGACGGCTACCTCCACACTGCAATACTATTTAAAGCGGATAGCTACATAATGCAAGTTCTGTTTCTTTAAATTTGATCGGCTGAACTTTTCACACGAAGGGATGTAGTGCAAATAATTGGGTTGACAATTCTAATAAAACGATTATGGAAAAAATGTACTTGCTGATCAAATATTTATTACTGTACAAAAGCACGCTGATTTTGAACGAGACAAAATGCAAAAGCGTGTCGTTTATATGCATAATTCTAAAGTGGGACATTATCACTATGGTATCAAATGAGTAATTTTTAAATCAGAACTTTTCATAACTTATATTGCGCTTTAGGCCCCGGACATCCCATGAAACCTCAACGTATTTCCGTTGTGCACAGTTTGCTGTTAAGCTATGGTTTGCATAAATTCATGAAAGTAAAGTGCAGTGAATGCGTATGTTTTGTGCAAGCTTGGGCTAATTGCGCTTTTAAGGTTTATAATACCGCTGCCGCCAGTGCTATCGATATGTGTCGCTTTCATGCAGAGGAGTACGTAAACTTTCTTCAGCGTATAACACCGTTGAACGCCGCACAGTACTGTCATTACTTTAGTCAGTTCAACATCGGCGATGACTGGTGAGTCTAAGATTTTTAAAACCTTGCTTCAAAGCCTGTATTTTCTACTTTTCAATGCTTTAGTCCTGTCTTCGATGGAGTCTTTGAATTCTGTTCATTGTACACCGGAGCTTCTTTAAACTGTGCGCATCAGCTAAATCAGGGAGTAAGTAACTTATCGCTTTTAAGCATGTTTGAGTTGTATGAAGCGTTGCAGAGCGTAATAACATGAAATATAGTAATAAATCTGATTCGGGTACCAAGCAGACGCAGGTGTCCCCGTTCGGAATCGGGGTACGCAATGTCAACCACGTTTAATAAGGGAAGACTGAATCTTCACGTCCCAGTCGTTTTCGACCTGCTCCGCTTTGTGGGGAACTGTACTTTGCAGTGTTCGGCATATAATGCCTAAGCATCACTTTAGGCCATAGATAACATGTCAGGTTATTATTTTTGTTAGCGGTTCCTGATCACAACTAACGAGATAACTAGAAACCAAGAAATTCGTAACTCCAGCTGTTAACACTACAAGAAGCAAGTTCGGTGTTGCATGTTAGAACGTTTGTTCCTTGTCTGGCGAAGGTAACTTGAATGATGTGTACCGTATCATCCGTGGTTACAAATTCAATGTTCTGGTGATTACGGAAGCTGGCCTCCTTGGAATTGTATGTTTTACCTTCAGAATAGGTGGTCATTTTTGTGGTCAGGCAGAAGATAATTACGCCTTGAAGGCGTTGGTATACTTTAGCCTCTAGATTAAGCAGGCGGTCATTTCGGTGGAATATTTGGTTGGTTCCCGGTTTGTCAAGTGACTGTCAAATGGACGACGCTTTGTCGCCTATGCCCTGGAAAACGTATCGAGCCACATCAACAAAGACGCTTTCTATGACTGCTTGGAGTCGGTTGTTAGGGCCTTGTCACCTTACGACGTAACAAATGTCACAAACGACCTCACCGCGATGGTGGACGCCTGATCCGACGCATGGTTAGGGTACCAGCGGTCATAACGGCGTTAACAGTACGACTGACAACGGCAGGTGTCTGTTAAACTTTTGCGCGACAGAGAGCGTAACCGTCATCGCGACCCTTTTTCCTCCGTTTAAGCGTATTCACCAAACCACGTGACGCGGACCTGCCTCAATTTAACTCAAAACACCCAGATATGTAATGTCCTCATCAACCTCAAATGGTGCAGCTGATTGCTCGAAACTTGCGTCAGGCATAGCGCCCGCCATTTAGTCTGATCACCATATGGTCAGTGCGAAACTTCATAAAAAATTAGTCGTGTCCCATCGACGCTGACTGGTTGAAACACATCAGTTGCTCGACGTTGACAGTCTGCAATATGACGAAACGGCGAGGTTGGTCTACCAAAAGTAGGTAAAGGGTCATTTTAATAATGCCTTAGTACCCAGTCGGGAAGCGGCAACGTCGATGACGCTTACAGAGACGTCAAAGAAGCCGTCATTTCCTCGGCGAAAAACGTAGTTGAGGTCAGAAAGAGAATAGCCAAATTTTTTTGAGTTAGGAAAGTACCCTAGACCTTAGAGTCCAAAGGAATATGAAAGAGAAAGGACTATATGCAGTGGCCTACTGCACCCTCGAAGTGTGACTCGTTCATGTTGTAAACTAGAAATGCGAGCGAAAGGGAACTTTGACTGAAGGAAGAAACCAGGAAGATCGATAGGGCACGCAGAAATGGTGACTGACGAACAGTGTTCAAAGAGGTGCGCCAGTTGTCCGGTAAGTAGGGGACTCAGTCTGTCATTTTACAAGACGCTAAGAGTGTTCCATTTTCAGGTCAAAAGGAACGCTTCAGAAGACTGATTGAACATTTTCCACAGCTGCTCAACTATTCCCTTCCAGATTCGTCACTTCTGACCGTTATTCTCTGCCAACACTAGATGTTAGTACAGATCTACCGTCAAAACTAGAAATCCCTAAAGCCTTCTTGCGCATCATGGAGAAGAAGGCCTGCTGGGTGGGTCGAGTTCCTCCGTAGTTGATTAAGTAACGAGGAACGGGAAAGGTAGAAAAGCCCTATCCCTTGTTTCATCAAATGTGGACCTGCAAAGGTTTCCATTGAAAATTTTTGTGTGGAATAATTGTCCCTATATTCAAAGGGGGTCACATGATCGAGTGTTCAAATTATCATAGTATGGCACTGCTGTCAACTCCCGGAAAACTTTTCTTCTGGATTATCCTGAAAAGACTGAGGCAGGCAGTTGATAGATGACTTCACCCAAATCTGGCTGGCTTACGAATGGGGTACTCCTGTCCCAATCAAAATTTGATTCTGCGTAGGATCGTTAGATGGAACAATACCGACGATTACAGTTGCCTTGGTTTGCCAGTTTCCTCGACTTTAATGGTGCATTCGATTCACTACATTGTTCGACGACGTGTAATACCTACAAATTTCATATGATATTTTGGCACATCGTTTCCATTTTCGGAAGATTTATGCAGGAACCATATCTTCTGTCAAAATTGAACAAGAAGAATGTGGGTAGTTCCCTATTAATTAGGGAATTAGTCAGGGAAATGTGCTTTCTCCTTTGCTATTCGACGTTGTCCAAGAGTTTCTTTTCCGTAGTAGTGCTGACCCTGGCACAGATGAAGATCTCATTCTAGAGGAAAGGGATAGTTCAAGATATTCAGCTAGATATCTTGCTGACCTGCAGATGATAATGTCCTGGTGTGTTACACGGGTAATGGGTTATGGCACCTGATGGATTCAGTATGCTGCACAGCTGCGAAAGTAGGTCTTTTCCTTAAACCCCGGAAGTCAAAAGTTTATGAAGAATCCTTCCGGCACCTCTGAACCACAAGTGAAACTTAGAGATGAGGCGCTTCAGGAAGTTGGCAAGTTTATGTACCTCAGCTCTTTCGTCTCCAGCGATGGCATTGCTCAGCCAGAGTTGAATACGAGTATTGTTGTACGGCATGGAAACAGTTGTTTTAATGGAGGAACAAGAACGATGGTTGAATTGCGCTCAGCAGCGTCGGCTTTGACACACATTGAGGGTTAAACGCAGGAATTACATTAGAAATGACTGTTCTTTTCCAGGCGCAGTTGACCTCTGTGGATGTGGAGATTAAAAAAGGAGATTGGCCCTGAGAGACAAACTGATTGAGTATACATTTACTCCAGCTCGTGAGCTTCTTGTATTGCAGCTGATACCTTGAAGACGTCGACTAGAAGGCAAGCATGAAAGAGAGGTGGTGGCAGATCTGCTTCTGCAAAAAATATTTCCTCCTGCTATCCAGTAACCGATGTCTTACTGTAAATGTAACAGCAAACCGTTACTGCAAAAGTGACGAAAACTAAGGATGCGGCGGATATCACAAACCGGACGCATTCTGTTTATGTAGATGGCTCAAAATGGTGATCTAAGCAGACACACCGCGCACTGGCATCTATCCCGTTATTCACAAGCGAGCGAAGAATTTTATCATAAATCTGAGCTTCAAGAAATTATGCGTAACTCTTAATTGGAGTGGTATTAGCAA